CTTCTTCTAGTGCTTTATATGTTCAAAACTGCAAATGACCATTCGGTGGTGGTCATGTATGTGACATCAGGTAAGATATTCCAAACTGCAAAACAATTTCAGCCCTTTTACCTGTAGGAATACTTATCTCCGTTATTACTTCACTTAAGGGCACGAAATCCCACAGATCTGCTAATTGGACATTTAGGAATTTATAAAATTCCTGGTTTTTGTAAAAGAAGCTTTGCGTTAGCAGTTTGATCACCATGGTTAACATGGTTGCGCTAAAATATTCCAACCTCCATTTTCTCTAAAATCTACTGATATCTTACTTAATATAATCAGGAAAACGCTATTTCTGCTCAAAAAGAGGACATTTCATTGAAGGATATGGATGAGCAAACAAAATGCGCAACGTCAAAGACGTCTTGAAAATATCGCATCGGTTTCTGTTATCAAGCTTCACGAGAAAAGTCACATGTTGTATGCGAGACTATGCGTGTCGCCCTGCACTCTTAGCTTCCACCGGACCATGACTCACATTTAGACTTGCTAATTACCTTCAGGGTTTTGACATGGTACTGTAATGGCGCACCGGTTTACGCGCTCACAAAGATTCTAGGCATCGCCGAAGTCTGTTGTTCTGCTTAATGAACATCAAATGATAAGCTTAAAGCCCTTAAAATGGACCAGCATGCTTTACGCACAGGCATCCGCTTTTGCCATCCTTAAAGCGTGAACTTGCAGTGTATCTTATGAAGGAAGACTTGAAGAAGGAGACACGATCGCCGGGACAAGAGCTTTATTAGCCTGACGTTTCGGATTCCTACTCGAATCCATCATCAGAGACAAAAGAGCAGAAACGGGTGGTTGCTGCACAAGGGGCTGCGGCATTTATAGGATGCAGTAGCCATGCTACCGCATACCTATGAACGTTCACGGCTTCCCCCCTTCATCCGGGATTGTCACACTTGGTGTGATCATTGCTTAATGTCCGGCATTCGAGTCGATAATTGCTGCAATTTCATCACGTGCGTTGGATGTTGGCGTGATGATTGCTCGACCATCTAACGCGTTGACCCGGGTGTTGGGAAGAGTGTTCACCAGCGCGCTCCCCGCGTGGCCAATTACTCCGCCTAAACGAAGTCTCAGCACGCTGTATTGAATGGGAAGATCGTTGCACTTGTTGGTGGACTGGGGGCCAGTAAACCATGATTCCAGTAGCTCCCGGCTCACTCGGTTGTCACCTCTTGCGAGAATTTCGGCCTCATCGAATTTAAATGTGTGGCCGGATCGCGTCGAATGAGCTGCAACTTTACAGCTGGCGTCATTTCTGCACACCGCTGCCGCGTGTTCGGCCATTCTTGTTCGGAGCTGTCTTCCGGTTTCTCCGACGTAGTTGCTTTGTCCGCAACCGCACCAGATCCGATAAACGACTCCAGACGTTTCTAGCCGTGGCAGTGGGTCTTTCGGTTTCATGATCAGACGCCTGATGGTTGCCTCCGGTCTGTGTGCTACTCCAACCCCAAGTGGTGCGAGAAGGCAGCCGACAACTTCCGAAACGTTCTTGACTATGTAAGGCAGCCTTTTGCCTCACTGACTTCTGGACTTAGTCGTGACAGCTTGTGTTAATACATTTAGGCAGAACATATTCTATCGGCTATCATTTCAAAATTGTGATCCTTTCTGACATGAAAAAGCTCCCAGACATGCTACTGGCCTGGCAGAAGAAAGGAAAGGGTGTTAAGCAGCAAAGCAGAAGACAGTCAAAGGTGTGGACGGTTATTTAATGAATCAGGGAATCACAGATGTGGTTTCGTGGCCACCAAAACCTGGTTGATTACGCTTGGCTTTGCGCGGCATCTACCCACATCAGAGTATGATACAGTTTCGAATGTAGGAACCCACAAGCCTCTCATAGATCAGGTCTCAGGTGCCTTCAAAAAGTATTTGAGAAATGGATCATGGTCGGTCGAGGTTTCTTTAGGGACTCAGGTTCATATCGCAGTAAAGCTGAAATAATTTTAAATGCTAGACCATTTCGAACGTGAACTCCCAGGTCAGTGAGATGAATCCTAAATTCACGAAACCAGCAAGCGGATCACGTGGTTTCACATAAAACTGAAAATGAAAAATAGCAGTACACAGTCATAGGACCTCAAGTTAATAATAGTGAACCAATATATAGTCAGATACACCCCAACTACAAACGGCTAATGAGCAAAAGTCACAATATTTTAGCTTAGCCTACGCATACTGTTACTTAAATTCACTGGAAAGTCAAAAAGACGAGGGCACATTATTCGTTATATTTATCTACCACCATTTGGTTTTTGACTATGTTCTTTGTACGGTGAAACATAAGAGTACATTGATCATGCTCAATCTTTGAAGTTTCACAGTCTAGAATACCGATGGCTGGTCTAATTGCCTAAATATCACTTACAGTTGATGGCCTATCTCATGATGTGTTGAATGAAATTCTGAAAAGCGTCCTGGATTAGGTGGATCTGTAATACTAATTATCATGGGTTATGATCTCAAAATATTTCAGTGGCATGAGAATGCCAAATTTTGAATAATCATACTTTTGGTTATCAACTGAAAACACTCCGTAAAATGTCACCTCCTCGTTGTGTACAATTTCCCCGTTAATTGGCAGTGACTTCGAGTACACTTGCGCAGTGGGACCTATTGATTGCGGCTTAAAACCAACGATAAGTTACCACCAGTTCGCTGTAGCCTATGAATACTTTATGTATAGCCACTTCCCTGAGACTTTTAACGCCGACATGACGTTCCATGTATGTTCTGACTGATCGCAGACGTAAAACACGTTAGTTATTGACGAAAGATCGATTGACAAAAATACATTAAAAACACCTCCATACAAATTTCAGAAAATAGTGTCGTCTTGGGTTAATTAGCTTTCGACTCTCAGCTGTCGTGTGCTTATTTTTGATTGTGTACTTTCAGTCTCAGTGACAAGCGCAAATCTGCTGCTCAGAATTCTTGGGACGGGAACGGTGATGACATTTTATACGACAAAGGCTAAGTACTTCTAATCTGCAGATGCACTTCGAGAAGGGTGTTCAGGATTTTAATTCTGCAACACTGGAATTTTATGTGTTTCATATGAATAGATTTGCTTGAACATACACACGCCCAACTCTGAGACCATCGGTGCCAAAGCTTACCCGTAGCGTAAAATATACATAGACCTGTGTCACGGTTTTTAAGGGTTATGTTAACTTACAATAGTCATTTTGGCGCGAAAGGTTGTGAAGACGTTTAATAATTTAACCCATAATACTTCAATAAACACAAGCACGGACTAGCATAATAGAATAAAAATCAGTGTAAGTACAATCACGTGGGCCATTCTAATTGAAAATAATCAACCTTTGGCCATGTGATCTGAGTGGGTGCGCCAGTTGCTAACATTCCAAGCCATGGCCTTCAGCGCACTGCAATATGTTTAAGCGCGTCAGATTGTGTATAGTGAGGAATAATGCGCTGAGACCGTCGACCTCATTCTCTTTTCTTTTTCCTGTGCACAAATTAGTCAAAGAACTGATGGAAGAGATGACTGCAGTGCTAAATACAACCCGTCTGTGCGTGCCATGTGACCTGGCCACCCAAACACGATTTCGACGACGTCCACCGTATGCCCCACAACAGGTGGCGGGATCAGGGACGGTGACTTGCGTGGGGTTTATGTTGCCAGCAGACTTGCGCTGCATCTACCACACTCTCTCCTCCTCCTCCTCCTCCTCCTCTCCCACCTGAGCCCACTGTCAAGACAGATTCAAGAAGACCGGAGATGAGGGAGGCCGCAGGTGGATGGCTTGGACGGATCCGCGCCTTGACGCTCCACTCCGCACCCCCTGGTCCACACAACAAATGACCAGGAATTTGACTGCCAATGCAATGGAGGGCGTGGCAGTGGCCCCAGTTTGTGCGACGGCTCCCGACAACAGGGTCTACCAGCGCACCCCCGTAGATGTTGACATTTGTTATTGCGCACAGATAACGCCTGCCAGAAGCCGATATGGTCTCCGTGTTGATCCAGCGCATCTACCACGTGGCCAATTTGTGGGGCACACCCCCCAAACACAAACACACACAGCAGAATTTCATACACAGAGGGGTTGGACTGCACAGGTATCACATGGGGCATATGGGACACACGGAGGACCCAAAGAGCCCTATTCCAGTTACCTGAGAGGTACCAGTGATCTGCGGTGTTGATGGTATTCATGTGCACTCCATGCATTGATGGGGAAATCTGTGGTGGAGTGGCTAAGTCTGCGGTGGTTTACCTTCGGTTTTCATGAGTGCTCGCGTGGCAAGAAAGCCCATGCAGGGAGTGAACACGCGTGGACGGTGCCGACAATGGAGGCGGATATGATGAAATTATTTGGGGACTCCTGGCACTGGTGTGCGGACTGCAGCGTATCCTGCCCGGGCCGTCAGCACATCATGCCACAAACACGTGACAAGCGAATGATCAAAGTCATGACCACTGTTCACACCTTCTTTGTGCTGATTGGCCACCCATCAGCCTATGACAGTTCCCCTTGCCATATACCCGGCCGTTTCCCTAAGCCTCCTCACTTGTGCTGTCTATCGTACTCAATACACGTCCTATTTCCAATTACCCTTCTGTTTTGCACACATAACATTGGCGACGCAGCCTAACGAACATGTCTTCATTGCTGCCTACACCGCTACCTTTCTGACCAAAGAACACCCAGAAGCCCTCAAATGACTCGTGGTTGCAGTGGAGAAAGACATTTGAGGATTATATTGAACTACTCCCGATCTTGTCACCTACGATTGTACTAGACGTCTCATCTAAGTTGAAACTCCTCCGGACGAATCTCGCAGAGCTGGGACAACGATATTTCGATGCCCTCAATCTATAAAAGGCCATAGATCTCCAATCAGCCCTTACAAAACTCGAGTCAGCGTGGGGAGGAAAAGACAACGTCTTGCTCAGTCGCTATCGGTTTTGTCAAATGCGTCAAGAATCCAGTCAATGTGTCAGTGATTTTATTACTAATCTGACTCTGGCCATCCAGGACTGTGAGTATAAAGAGATCAAGGTAGACAACTTCGAGCACCCAATGCTTGTTCAGCAGTTGATCGCCGGTCTGCGCGATGAAAAATCTCGTGAAAATCTCTTATCAGAGAAGAAGGATTTGTCATGGGAGAAAGCCTGTGATATCGCCAGTCATCAGGAGCGCGTGCGGCAAAACCTTCAACAGCTGAATCAGTCAAACGATGGTGTGATAGCATCCTTGGAATCTGAAATGGCTGTCTCCCTAGTCAACACTGCTGTGTCTTCACCTAGACAGCTACCTTCAGCTCCCTCAAAACAACTACCATCCTGCTACCGTTGTGGTCAGCATCATCCGGTGGTCAAACTGTAGACACCAGAAGACGGCATGCCAGTTTTGCAAGAAAATCGGCCACATCGAACGAGTGTGTTTCTCCAAAAGACGAGCGAACACTAACACGCATGCGACCTACCCTAATCCAGCCGGGGATGGCGAGGCGATACTCCGAATGTTTTCGGCCAACGCGCCACTCCAATCGCCCTACACCATTACGCTTCCGGTTGATCACCATCCCGTGAAGTTTGAAATCGACACTGGCTCAGCCGTTACTCTCATCAATGAGGCCCCTCTTCAGAAATTACCCTCCCTCCTTCCGGCTAGCTCAAGATTCCGTAGTTATACTGGACAGAACGTAGAGGTTCGGAAGGTCTTTACAGCCGAAGTCGAGCATGATGGAGAACTTCATTACTTGCCGGTTCATGTGGTGAGAGGAAGCCAGCAACCAAATCTCCTCGGACGGAATTGGATTAAATGTGTGCCTTCTGTACTATCCTATGTACATCGGATTGGTGTAAATCCGGCTCTAGATTCAATTTTGGTAAATCATAAAGATCTATTTCGTGACGATTCTGCTACCCACTTCCGCGGTCCACCTGTTAAGTTCCAGTTTCAGTCAGATTTCCGGCCCCGGTTCTTCAAAGCTCGTACAGTCCCCTATGCAGTCGTACCGAAGTTCGAAGAAGAGCTGGATCGCCTTCAGAAAGCGGATATTATTGAACCCGTGTAATATTCGGAATGGGCAGCCCCAATAGTTCCTGTTCTTAAAACCGATGATTCTGTGCGTATCTGTGGCGACTACAAGCTGACAATCAACTCAGCAACTGAACTGAACCCTTATCCTCTCCCGCGCATCGAGGATCTGTACGCATCTCTCTCTGGTGGTCATCAATTTACAACTTTGGACCTAAAGCATGCATACAACCAAGTCGTCCTAGATACTGAATCCCCAGACGCCACCACCATCAATACGCATCAAGGTTTATTTCGATATAAAAGACTACCATTTGGAGTAAGTTCGGCCTCCGGGTTTATTTCAATGCTTGATTGATAACCTCGTGTAGGATATACCTCACGTTTGCGCATACCTTGACGATATATTAGTTACCGGCCCATCTGAACATAGTCATCTAGAGACTCTAAGCATCGTGTTGGGACGTTTAGGAGAAGCAGGTTTTAAACTCAGGAGAGATAAGGGCATTTTCCTTGCCGACTCGGTAGAATACCTGGGCTTCTGGGTGGATAAAACTGGCCTCCATCCACTCGAAAATAAGCTCAAAGCCTTGAAGACGGCGCCGCGACCCAACAATACTAGTCAATTGCGTTCATTCCTGGGTTTGGTCACCCACTTTAGTCGCTTTATTAATCAATCGGCTACCATTCTAAAGCCTCTTTATCGACTACTTGAAAAGAATCGTTGCTGGAATTGGTCGGAGGTCGAACAAAGTGCTTTTGAACAAGCAAAGGTGGCTCCTACCTCCTCATCTGTCCTAGTTCATTATGACCCCGAAAAGCCTATCATACTGAAATGTGATGCGTCTCCGTACGGCGTAGGTGCGGTTCTCATGCACCGAATGCCTTCTGGTGCGGAGATGCCGATTACCTTTGCATCCAGAACTATATCGCAGGCGGAAACCAACTATTCGCAACTAGATAAAGAGGCCTTAGCAATAATATTTGGCCTACATCGCTTCCACCTCTATCTTTTTGGCCGACCCTTTGAGATTCACACTGATCACAAACCCCTCTTAGGTCTGCTGGGAGAAAAACGAGGGATACAACAGATGTCCTCGCCAAGAATGCAACGATGTGCACTCACTTTATCTGCTTACACGTATGCAATGAAATACGTTACAGGTAGTGCAAACGTAGTGGCTGACGCCTTGAGTAGGCTTCCTATCGTGGACGATGGCATTAACGGGGCACCTGTTTTTGAGGCCGTGAATCTTTTGCAGAATCTAGTCAACGCGCCTGTAACCTGTCAACAAATTCGACAGTGGACATCGAGAGACCCTCTCCTAAGTCGGGTAAAAAGAGCCTTACAATCTGGCTGGCCGTCCTCTACCTCCCCTGATTTTCAACCATTCTTCAGCCGTCAGAACGAGTTAAGTCTACAAGACGGATGCATACTATGGGGTAATCGTGTAGTTGTGCCAGCAAAAGGCCGACGGACCATCCTCAGAGACCTGCATAATGCCCATCCTGGTATAGTTAGAATAAAAGCTCTCGCCCGCAGCAATGCTTGGTGGCCCAGAATTGACGCAGATATATAAAACGTGGTGAAAGCATGTCACGTGTGCCAAATAACACAGAAGACCTTACCGAAGGTTCCTCTGAGGCCTTGGGCCTGGCCCGACTCGCCGTGGAAGAATGTACACGTCGATTATTTTGGGCCATTCCAAGGCCATATGGTTTTGGTGGTATTTGACGCCCACACTAAATGGATTGATGTGATTCCGACAGGAAATTCTTGTTCTTCACTAACTACAATCAACAAGTTGCGAACCGCTTTCTCTACTTTTGGGATACCTAAAATGCTCGTTTCAGACAATGGTCCGGCCTTTACTAGTGCAGAATTTAAAGATTTCATGAAGAAAAATGGAATTAGACATTTAACTACTGCCCCGTACCACGCTGCTTCTAATGGCCTCGCAGAGCGTGCAGTCCAGATAATAAAGCACGGACTAGCTAAACAGACGGAAGCGGACTTGGTCACCAAGTTGTCACGCTTTCTATTCAGCTATCGCATAACACCAAACGACTCAACTGGTGCTTCACCTGCAGAATTTATGTTCAAGAGACAGTTGCGCTCACGACTCGACCTGCTTAATCCATCAACGCATGATAGAGTCATTGCAAAACAGACGAAGATGAAAGCACGATATGATGCAACCACTCGACCACGAGTCGTCGCGCCCAACGAAAGCGTCTACACGAGACTGGAACACGAAACGAACTGGTGTCCAGCGGTAGTTCGAACAAGCGAGGGGCAAATAGTGAAATTAGAGTTAGAAGATGGGAGAATTGTGCGTCGACATCTGGACCAAGTTCGCAGCCGAACGGACACAGCAAGTGGAGAGTTAGGAAAGTTCGAACTGCCAGCAACCCCTGATAGGGATTCTGACATCCCGAGGACTGAACACCTACTGCCTGCACAGAGCACTACGCCACCGACTAAGGCGTATGTTCCTCCTCCTTCTACCCCGGCCAGCACTAGCTTAGGGGCAGAGGAGCCAGTGACTGCACAAAGCGGCGCAGAGGTAGAAAATACCGCCCTGAGAAGATCGACCCGAATCCGCAAACCTGTCCAACGCTTTCAGGACGAATCTTATTAGAACATTGTCTAACTATATACTATTACCTTTACTGTTCCCCCCTCCCTTCCTCCTCATGCTCTCCACTTTAGGGTGGAGGGATGCAGCGTATCCTGCCCGGGCCGTCAGGACATCATACCACAAACATGTGACAAGCGAACGATCAAGGTCATGACCCCTGTTCACACCTTCTTTGTGCTGATTGGCCACCCATCAGCCTATGACAGTTCCCCTTGGCATATACCCGGCCGTTTCCCTAAGCCTCTTCACTTGTGCTGTCTATCGTACTCAGTACACGTCCTATTTCCAATTACCCTTCTGTTTTGCATACATAACACGGACCAGAGTGCGATGGCTTTGCCAGTTACCATATAGGTCGATGCGTGGGATGAATGCATGATATCAATAAGGGAAAGTTGGAACTGATTCCACATTGTTTTTGCTGTTGGTGGTGGTGATGGCGGCGGCGGCGGCGGCGGCGGGGTGATATTTAATGAGGAGAGGGGAGTGTTCCCATCGGTGACACAAGTGAGCAGGATGGTCGTCGTTTTCTTCCTTGTTGTCGCGATGGTTGTTGCGGGGAAGATGAGGTGGCAGTGATTGACAGTGGAGGGGCATCAGGCGTGTGATCCCTAGTGGTCGGGATGATCACCATCGTAGACGCTGTGGAGGTTTGTGTAGGAGTGACGATAAGGGTGTTTGTGGAGACATCATGTGCGGTCGTTGAGTTTTTATCGCATTGGGTGCGGAGATATCCGAAAAACCCGCCCTGTACGCGGAATGTCCGTCTGAAGCATGGACACGTCGGAGCGTATTGAGTTTTGTTATAATGTACTGAGGGCACTGTGGACTTGCAAGCTGCTCCTTCTACTTTGTTACCGGCAATTCGTTTGGCTTCATAGATACCTAACGCAGTTTTCACTGTTCTTAATTTCGGTCGGTCATGGGTGAATTTCTTCCAAGAATCCGGGTCGATTTGCCAGTGCCTGGGAGAGACCTTCTGGATGACCTTGCAGTGGCCTGTACGTCCTCCCTGATGCAAACACCCGTGGCGATGTTTCCGTAGAGCAGTAGCTTTTTTAATCGCTCGTAGTCCATCCACGTAGTGTCGCTGCTCCGATGCAAGTTATCATGCTCTCGCGGACTAACGTATGATATCTCACGAGCCCTAAGCATTAGGAGCAGTAAGTAAAACCGATTGATAAACACAATTGATATTCCAAACGTCAGATTACCTGAAAGCAGAGCACAACAGTGGAGAATGCCAGCGAAGCGGGGTTTTCCAGGTGTGTTGTTTTCGTCACGTTAAAACCACTAATACGGTAAAAGAAAAGTCCTGTATCTCGCCACAGTGCTCTCCTCCGAAACCGGAAGGCGACGTAAAAAAGCGCTGACAGATATGCACACAGTAGATGTGCAAGCTCATGAAGTGTAAATCCAAGTTCTAGAACGTTTTTTTCGATTCCAGAAGACTGCTTAAGTAGGGCTGCAATATTAATCTCCATGCAGCAGAATCCAAAAATGATTCAGATGCTCCGGGATGTCAGATTTAAAAGAAATTCTTCCCGGCTACTTACGAAAACTACACCCTTTGAAAATGATTACTTAATTAGTATGAATTTTTATCCATGTTTGGCGATGTGCTTATAAATTGAAATATACTTCATAAAAATCATGCATAAAAATACTAACTCTTTTCCTCGTTTGATAAAAAATTATGTC